CAGGCTTTGGTTTAATTTCTTAATTAAACCCTGGGCCGCCTTTCCCTCCTCCTTGCTCGGTGTCCTGGAGGGCAGGAATCCTGACACGCAGCCAAAGCATCTGTACAGCCCAGCAGGCCACCGAATCGGGCTTGGACCCTTCCTTGCCCACAGGCTGAAGATGCCTGTGATTCCCAAGTGGGTGGCGCATCCTGAATCCAGGCATGTGGTTTTGGGCTGGGGACCACCAATGCTCTCCTCCTCTCCTGACCAGCTGGGAGCTCAGCGCTGCCTCGGCGTCACCGGCACACGGTTTCTGTTTGGGGTTTGGGAGGGCACATAGCGAAACCCGTAGGTGTCTCAGGAAAAGCAACATTTGGCCTGAGAGCTTTTGCCTGTGATGGACAGAAGGAAGTTTTCGGTGGAAGCTGGTGTCCAGTTGTGGGCAAGAAATGGAGGTGTGAGCCCGTGGCGTGGTGCAGCTTGTGCCCTGGCGTCTCCTGGATCGGAGCGTCCTTCTGACGTGGTAAAGGTGGTGATCCCTGGGTCCAGATGGGAGCTGGGATCCTGGCAGAGCACGAGCAGACCTTTAAGAGATGTCCCAAGGGGTGTTTGAAACGCCTGGGGAGCTCTCCTGCTCGCCTGTGTGCGGTTCCAGAAGCCAGTCACAGTCCCTGCTAACAAAAAGTGTATCTTACTCCCATAACAAAAGACCTGGAAAGAACCAGACTGGTGGTTATCTAGGAGGGGCAAAAAAGAAACTCGGGAAAGCTGAGCTGGAGGGATCCTGCAGAATGCGATACCGTGCACACCCACCTCCTGCTCAGCCTTTTTATTCACAGCGAGGCCGGGGCATTAATGCTAAATTAAGATTAGGTGACTGAACCTATAAGCCAGGAATTAAGGTTAAAGTCGCAGCGTTCTATCAGTCTCTTTGCATTTCCTGGCTTTCCTGTGACACTTGGATGTACACGTTCTAACCTCACTTTTTAAAAACAACGGGTGTGTTTTGCTCAGGGGGTTCGCTGGCTGAAGGGGCATTGAATACAAGCGGCCTACCCCAAGAAGAGACCTTCCTAGTGCAAGGAGCTGCTGGGAGAGAGGGACATGGCAACACCTGTGGAGAACCGCAATCTGCAGTGGGATCTGGACAACTCGAGCCTTGGAAAACTGCTGTTTCCCAGACCTCTTTGCCCAGTGCATGTGCTGCTGCTGTCATCTCGGCTCTTTCGCAGCTCACAGCCACAGCATCCCCTTGCAAATGGGATGGCAACCGAGCAGGGAAGAAGGGAGCTGGTTTTCTGGGTGGTTTTGTGAGCAGAGAGTATTTTGGACGCTGTGTTAGGGAATAACTTTTTGCCCTGCTTAGGACTCAGCAGGAGCAGGACAGGAGAAAGGAGGTGAAGGGGAGCGAGCAATGCCTAGGAAAGGATGGGGATAGAGCTGGAGGGTCCGGTACAGAGGGTGAAAGACAAGATGTAGCTCTCCCGCGTGCTCAGGGCGGCTCTGTGTCACTGGCACAGATTTGGAGCGGTCCCTTGCGAAGCCCCATGAGTGAAAGATGGACAGACTGATAGTGCTGTTGGGAAAAATCCCCCTTTCCCACCATTTGAAAGATCAGTGTGAGGCGTTCAAAGTGGCTTTTGGTGGCATAGGGGAGTGAAAGTTTCCAGCGTGAGGTGGGAAGAGAGGCCATCCAGAGGAAGAATGCCTGGTGTATTCGCATCCCTCTCCTTTCCCCAGACGCACGTTGTGCTAAGAGACGAAGGGTTAAGCTCCAGGCCCTGCTGACTGCCATGTGATGCAGTTGCTGGGGCGATTAGTAAAGATCTGTGCCCTAAGAGGAATCACATGGGCTTCCACAGGGCTCCCTGGGTGCAAACGTGCCCTGCCGAATCCTGCCTCGCTCCCTGCTTCCTTCCTCACCGAGGGGAGCGCTGGGTCCGGGGAGGGGAGCGTGGCTTCGCCATCCCAGGCTGCACAGAAGCTCTACATCAAAAGGCAAGGAACAAAACAACTGCAGAGCGTTTTAAAGGAAAATAAATAAACCCTTGGCTGCTCCAGGAGAGTTCTTACCCAAGGTACAATCGAGTCGTCTATTTATGGCTTTTCAATTCAAAAGCAGATACATAACAGGAACTTTTGATAGTCAAGCCCTAAAGAAGCTAACTGGTGATATTCAGGCCCCAAAGAACCTGACTTCCCACAATCAAAGGGACTGCCGTAACGCTCTGCTTTGTCAGGTGGCTGGTGGGACTAGAGGAAATCCTGGGTTTCTGCTTTATTGGGTGGCTGGTGGACGTGGAGGAAATCCTGGGGTTTTATCGAATGAAAGCAGCTTTCAGTTGAGAGGACAATGTGACAATATCTGTTTGCATAGATTCTTCCAGCAGGAAGGCCCACGGAATGTTTTCTTCGCAGGGTGGTATCTGGGAGATTACCTTGGTGATAGCACATTGCAGTGTGAGAAAGTTTGTGAGGGCTCAGTAGCGGCCAGTTGCTCGAGACAAGTGTATTTGGGGCTGATTATTTGGTGTATTACTCAGGATGAATTAAGCACTGTAAAACTGGAGGAATCAGCCCATTAGCAATACATGCCCGTGCTCTCTAGCATAACCCAAAACACATCAGCATGATAACGAAGCGTCCCAAGAACAGCTTTTGCCTCCAGGTTGCTTCGTTTCACTGCCCACAAAGGCCCTTGAGGTTCACAGTCCATCTGCATCGATCCTTTCATGGTTTTGTTTTCCTGCAGGTGATGTGACAAACCTGACTCCTGAGCACTCCTTCAAAGGCACAAAAACAGACGTGGGGAACATCGTGTTAGCTTTGTACAGCGGTCTCTTTGCCTATGGAGGATGGTAAGGTGCAGCCCTCTTGTCTTTTCTCGGCGCTAAATACTGTAGTCTGTTCCTTTTGTCCTCGGATTGTGTTTGCAGGAAGAGTGTGGTCCAGGACTTTCCGTCTTCCTTGTAACCAGGGCAACGAGGCAGATGCTGTGGGTTTGCCTAGTGATGTTAACAGTCGTGCTTCCCACCCCGTTCCCAGCCAGGACACAGAAGCCCAAAGAAGTGGAGGTGATCGTGGGGTTTAGAAGCAGCAGCAGATGGCGGGTGATGAGGCACCTTGGTGCTTGGTGCGCTAAGAGGAAGCAGCAGGGTGGATTTGGCTAGCAGAAGAGCTACACACCAGCAGATTACTTTGAAACTCCTGGAGGGCTTCTTTATCAGACCCTTGGAGCACTTGTAAGCCCAAGGAGCCTGCTCAGTTTGCTGTGAAAACAGGCCAGCTGCAGCCATCCTTGTCGCCTGGAGGGGCGGTCCTGCCGCTCGTGGGTCCAGCTCTTCACCTGCAATCGCCTGTCCACCCGCAAGGAAGCTGGCAGTGTGGTGTGCTAGACCCCCAGCACCATCCAGGTTTTGTGCTGGAGGTCTTGGGCCAGGCGTCAGCCATCATAAGTTTTACCACAGGCGTCGGTCTCTGTACCCCTCCTGAAATTCCCCTGCAGATGAGTAAAGTGAAGGGCTTTGTTTGTTCCATGGACTAACCAGAATTAACCACTGTTCTTCTTAAATTACAGGAATTACTTGAATTTTGTTACAGAAGAGATGATAAATCCCTACAGGTAAGTGTGTGTCCAGTAGTGACTTCCCTGGGAAGACAACCTGTTGTTCTCAGGAAGCACTGTCCTCATGTCTGTGACAGGGGTTGCCAGTCAGCCCAGGAGCCAAGGTCTTTGTCTGGGGAACTAGAAAATGAGATGAATTAATGGCATTGTTCCTCCCTCGAATAGGGGACGGGGAATAATAATCTCTGTATGAGGAGGGCTGTTGCTTACACTGCTTTCCTGTACTGCTAGTATTATCAGTGTTGTTGGAAAGTCCTGCTTCCTTGGCATGGCACCTCTCTGAGTTACAGGCGAGGAAGAAGCACTCACGGCTTTGTTACTGTCTTGTATAAACTCCCACAAGAGTCTTTGTGCGTACATATGTTTGTCATGTGCTTTTCCTGTTCTGTTGAGCAATAGCCGCTCTCTGCCCTGCTCGTGCCTTTCAGGGTTATGCAGGGGGTCTGGTGAGATGAGGGTGGGCCGCCCCGCAGCAGGACATCGCTGATAAAATCATTTGTGCTCATGGGGAAGGTGCCGATGAGGCACTGTCGATGCGAGCTTCAGGGTCACTTGTGCGAGAACCCGTTCCTGCCTGACCCTGGCAGTGATTAGCGCCTGCTGGGAAGCATAAGATTTGATACGCCCTTTCCTTGACAAACACGGTTATAAAAAGGTTCTCGCCGTTTGCAATTGTTTTCGTGTCTTCTGAATGCAGTCACGGTATTTGACTCTTTCCTCCCGTGGCTTTGAGCTCTACCAGACCAATTACACGTGGCATCAAGCAGGGTTTCCTTTTTTCAGTTTCCGTTCGCAAATGAAGTTAGACTACTGGGAAAGGGCGATTTCTACCAACGCGGCCTTGTCTTTACGGACCCACTCAGGCTGCGTCTGAACTCATTTTCTCCGAGTTTCGTCAGGCCAGCCACCTGCGCTCAGTTAGAGCCTAAAAACTGCCCGCTACAGCCCTGATCTTCCCGTCTCCCACAAGAAACCCACCAGCACAAATGCTTCTCCTTTGTCCAGAAGAGAACACATGTGCTAATGCCCCTGGCTAGCAAGAGACACAGGGAGTTAATTTTCATTAATTGCCTTTGCAGTGATCTTGGATTACTGCTTGCCCAGACAGCCAGTGTCTTTCCATGCAAAAAGTCCCTTCTGCCATAATCCTTCCCTCTACATCTGTCAGCCCCCAGGCTGCTCCCGTGGGAGCATCTTCTCCTCTCCCAGGGGAGCAGCGTGTGGCTGGGAAACTGGA